AGAAGAGGAAAAAGAGAGGAAAAGGAGAAAAAAGAGGAAAAAGAGAAGGAAGAGGAAAAAGAGAAGGAAGATGGGCAAGAGGGACGCGCGTATCGTTCGTGGAGACCGAAGATCGTGGAGATTCTTTGATCTTGCTTCCATCTTCCGGTTGGTGGTAAGTGGCAAGTGGCAACCGTGTCAGAGCTCGTCACACTCCGTAGACCGGCCTAACCGGACCAACTCGACGATTCGCCTAAACATAGCAGCGAATCCCCTTCGCTTTTACTTTGCCGCGAAACACGCTGAAAAGCGCGAGCCGCTCGAACCATTTTTCTCATCTGAAACAGCCAACAGAACGTGTACGCGCGCCTCGCACGCTAAACCCCACTGTCCACGAAGCGTCGTTTCGTAGTAGCGTAAGCGTTCTCTATTAGCAAAGTTGGGCAAGTTTTATTCGAATAACGAATAAATTCGCGAATAAGAAATAGCGACTTTATTAGACGAAAAATTATTCGTTAGTCGCAAATAAATCGTCTTTCGATTTCAGCACCAGCTGCAAATAAAATGGCAAAACGGCAAACTAAATTGTTGCACAGCCAGTCAGGCGCCGACTCGAAGCCAAAACGCCCCCGTGGCACTCTGTTTCCCGGCGTGATACGATTGACGATCTCCAAACGACCGCTTTGTCTTTGTATTTAAGTAAACGTTCTAACGATGATTTCCATGCATTGCTACTACTCTTTACTCTCTACTCTCTACTCTCTACATACAATATTCGAAAACATATTCGAACAAGTCTCTATCCGTTATTCTCGAATAACTTCCTTTATCCGCAATTTTTATTCCAGCAATAATTTATTCGCAATGTTATTCGATTCTGTCTACAAAGCGTACAGTAAAATATTTTGCATTTTGCCTCGTTATTACCTATTGCCTATTATTAAATATAACTGCACGTCTCGCTACTGGCAATGTTAACGCCTGTCGTCATGACTCACGACGAAAACGCGTAGCGACGAAAATGGTTCGCCACTGTTTTGTGGACAATTGCACTTTACTTTATAACGCCCGCTGCATGGAAACCTACTGTTGGCATCGACGCGTCTAATACCTGTCTATGAAGCGATGACGTTTCGTCGTTAACAAGCGTTCGTTAACAAAAGATGCCTATGATATTGCAGAGCACTGTGATACCATTCGTTACTACGTATAAACATTTCCATGTAAATTTGCACGTTTTACGTTTTACGTTTTTAAATTTACGAAGATAATAAAAGTAAACAACGATTTTTAAATATTTGCGGTAAGTGCAAATAACTATTGTACATTGCGTTAATAAGACTCGAACATCTGATATTGATACTTATAATCATCCTAATTCTACACCTTGGTTCGTTGTTTTGCTTTCTCTTTCGGGAGTGGCATGCTCTAGTTCGCCTGGCCACGAAATCGTCCATCCGTCAATACGGTACGTCCTCCAGCTCTTATTGCTCGACTTCAATTTTATTTCACGTGATTCAAGCGCAAAGTATACTGAACCAAATCGGTGACAAGTCAAGCGGATCGTTAAATGAATCAAACCGAACATATCGAAAATAATAATTATATTTTGTATACCTATCACAGTGATTATATCAAATTACAAGTAATTATATCAAGTTACATAAATTGTAGAAATATTTACTATCACATGTATAAATTGTTATAAATACACAGTGGAAAAACCTTGTATATATCGTATAACCATTTCAAAAATATTATATCATTTATTCCAAAAATAACGTTTCATTTTCCTGCTGAGTGCAGATCTCATCGATAAATAAATAATTTTTCCTTTACACCTTACATGTTAACGAACACATGCTACATAAAAAAAAATCTCCCTATAATATACAGTGAAACTAATAATAATATACAATTAAACTATGCCCCGCGAATTATTAGAAATAAATCTATATCAAATATCCTTATTATAAATTCCTTCAACACTGTCATGGCGATCTATTTTGTGCAAACGAGTTTGTAATATGAATCTTAATAAGAAAAAAAAAAAAAAAGAAAAAGAAATAGAAGAGAATTCACTACTTTCACATTCAGGTACATTACACGGTCTTCGATTGAGCGAGTATCTAACTCGCACCCACTCCACGTTTAAACATTCTAGGGAGGTTCAACGAATCGTAATTATTCAATCTCAACGACGAAACGATTTCCCACCTATATAAGTAAAAGTTACCGTTTTAGCATTAAGCAATTTAAGAATAATATTTCTTAATTTCTGCAAGCAAAGACGCTTCGGTCGATTCGTTTATTTCTACGAATCTTTTATTTGCCCTGCTAAAGTAATAAATATCACCAGTGTAAATATCAAACCACAAAGCATGAATGTGCAAATCATGCCTCTCAAGCCGTTTCTTTAAAAACCCATAAGAAGCTATGTTTTGTAACTGCTGTAGAGTATTTATCTGAAATTAAAATACACGTATTTCTTTAAAATAGACTTCAATTTAAATTTATTAATTACAGAGATGATCGTAACCGACTATATATATATATATATATACACTTTATTATAGTATAACCAAATTGGACCAAACAACTTGCGTTTCTTTTCTTTCTATCTTTCTTTCTTCTTCTTCTTCTTCTCTTTTTTTTTTTTTTTTTAAGTTAAGGGAATTAATAAAAATATATTAATATATATATATATACAGGGTGGTTGGTAACTGGTGGTACAAGCGGAAAGGGGATGATTCTACGCGAAAAAAGAAGTCGAAAATATAGAATAAAAATTTTTCGTTTGAGGCTTTGTTTTCGAAAAAATCGACTTTGAATTTTCGCTCGGTACGCGTGCGGTACGTTATAACGGATCTCACTGTAGATCGCTCGAAGATGGTATCCCACTGAGGGTAGCCATCCACATGCTATATTGCTACATCACTAAGCTATAATATTTTACCAAATGTCCTACTGGACAAATTGTAAAATGTAAATAAATAAATAATAAAAAAAAAACTGTAGATCGTTGTCTCGATGGAAAAATTAGAAAAAAAAAAAAATTAAAAAGAAAATTTTTATTCTATATTTTCGACTTCTTTTTTCGCGTAGAATCATCCCCTTTCCGCTTGTACCACCAGTTACCAACCACCCTGTATATATATTGAAAATTTTATCCGATTTATTCTGTTTTAAAAGGTGTTTGGCCAATTATGCGATAATAAATGCATCTATACTAACTTGAGATAACTTATCCTCTATAGCAAATTTATTGTCTGAGTCGATATAGGCCACAAACTTCCGTAAAGGCGTTTCAGCTTGAAATAATATCGGCTCGTGGAAGCCAGCAACTTCAAGCTGTTGAAATTTCGCTAAACTGTTGCTAGCGTGTGCACACAACCATGCTCTTAACGGTGATATCCTTCTGTTCACCTAGGAGGTAACAATTATTATACATTAAATAAATATGTGTAAAAATAGTAAAACTAACAAAGTACACACTTTCGATGCGAATTCTTCGTCCCGCAAAGCATACAGCAAATTCATAGCTTTGCAATCGCTATGGCCACAAACTATAATGTGTCTTATATTGTTTACTACACAACCAAGTTCTAAGGCCGCTGGCTCACACATTGTTAACTCGTCTACGAAATGCTGAGAATGGGGAATAAGATTACCGGCATTTCTTACTGAAAAAACATAAAATTTGACAAAACTTTAAATTCTTCAAAAACTTAAAAAAAAAAATTTGTCAAATACTTGTTCTTTGGAATATTTCACACTATGTTTCTTTAGCAAAATCAACGACACATTCAAAGAAAAAATATCTTTCAAATTAATACATTAAAAACATTAGAAACGTTACAGTAATATTCCATTGTATTAAAAGGCAACGTGAAATTGTCCGGAAAAAAAAAAAAAGCAACAAGTTTCGTATTCGAGAAGATCAATGTCATGATAAGGTCTCGTACCGACAAACATGTCCCCAACGTTTGTTTCCGTAAATCTAGTTGGAATCATCCGGGAGTCCATGCAAGTAAAGAATACTGCCTTTGGCTGTGTAAGATAAGTAACGACAAAAATCAGTCATGCCAATAAATGTTAATATCCCACCTTACATTAGTTATGTAATTTATGCAGTATATTATTTATAATACTTTTTATACTTTCATATTCTAATAGCTTTTTTACACGTTAAATTATATACACATACGTACATACATATCTTACGTATATGTATATAGTCTCATGCATAGCAACAGTTTGAGAAAGAATAAATGCAATAAACATTTAAAACAACAATAAAGCATATTAATAACAACGCGGATTTTAATATTTGATTTAATAACTTCAACTTTCAAATATTTCAATCTATTATTAAATTAATCTTTATAGGTCGCGTTATATCAAAGTAATGTCTGACACATGCTTACACAGATAAAATTTTATCCACATGCATGTATGTATGATTCCTATGGATGATTCTTTAGTTCAAGGACATATGAAAACAAACTTGTTCTTTTCCAAATATAATAAAAACATATATGAAATAAATACATATTTTACTTAAATTTGATTATACTTTCTCAACATGTATACCTTTTATCACGAATATCAAAAATAATTACCACCGTCTTTCGCAATTTAAATATTAATATCAGACGAAACGTGAAACGTCATAAAAAGAGAAATATGTCCACAAGTTATCAACAGTGACTTAGAGAAAAAAAATTGTAACGTACTTCGGGATGATCTCGAACTCTTTGAAACTGTTTCACCATTTCTTCCCTATGGCAATTCCTATATTTCGTAATTCCTTTGATTATTCTATCCATGGTGGATACAATACACACTTTGTCACGTTCTATCAACCTAAAATGGTGACAACACACGATTTCGCCATAGCCGAGCAGAAGGCGGCAATTTTAAATGTATCACACAACTAAAAAATGAGTATAAAGATTAGTTCAAAGATTACTTAACTTATTCTACTTTTCATTTAAATACGACATTAAATTTAGATTCAATTCGATGACTTTATTTATTCGCATAATTAAAAAATACAGTCTAGTGATACACGTGAAAGCATAAGCTTTTATTATTCCATGTTCCTTTTATTACTTCTTCATAAATACAGCTGTAAATAAATTCATACATGTTTAATATTTGTTCTTCTTTCCGTATGTCAAAAGGTACCAATCAAAATTTTATACAAAATATAACGTATAATTTAACATTATCGTTATCTAAATCGAAAGATACAATTACGGTTAGCTTGATTGTTGCAATAGCACGGTTTATATAATAAGTATATATGTACACTATTATATCAAGTAAATATAATTTAAGAAAATATATATATCTTTGTAACAGGCCAGAGAGAATAATTGCTATACAGAAATAAAATACATAACATCATAGAACCAGGAAAAAGCTTAACCCAGAAAACCATGTATTATCTCTAAGAGCCAAGACAGTATTTACTATAAGCGAACGACGATATATATGTCCACTTAACATGATACTAATAGCGTACAATTTCATACTAACAAGTATAAATATATATATATATATATATATATATATATATATATATATATATATATATATATATATATATATATATATATATATATATATATATATATATATATATATATATATATATATATATATATATATATATATATATATATATATATATATATATATATATATATATATATATATATATATATATATATATATATATATATATATATATATATATATATATATATATATATATATATATATATATATATATATATATATATATATATATATATATATATATATATATATATATATATATATATATATATATATATATATATATATATATATATATATATATATATATATATATATATATATATATATATATATATATATATATATATATATATATATATATATATATATATATATATATATATATATATATATATATATATATATATATATATATATATATATATATATATATATATATATATATATATATTTTTTTTGTATATATATATATGTTGTATTCATTTATTAACACGTACATGCGTAGCAAAATTTTCAAATATTCTTTCAAATTTTGTATAGAATAAAATAAAAATTCTGAAATACAATATAATTCTTTGAAAATGACAGTATTAATAATAGTTTTGTCACAAATTACATATTGAAATTATTCATTCATTAGCAAAATTATCGATTTACTTTAATTAATAAAAGAGGAAAGTTCTCATGCACCTTCATTGTGATGATTCTCTTTTAAAGTGACTCTTAGATTCAATAGCGATTAACAGCCTGGACCCGGGTGACAACGCGCCTGGGTCGAGCTGATTTCTATCTACTTAATGCCGAGCTCTGACTAGCACGCTCTAATTTCTCAAAATGTTTTCGTGCATTACGAATATTGATTAATGTTGCTGCTGATGCTGAAACAGTAGGAATAATTATTTCAGTATTTATTAAAAATTTTACGAATTAAGATACTAAATACTTACGGATAGCAGGATCCGACATAATAACCATTACATATGTATTTGATGTAAACACATCAATAAAAGCTGCAAAATTTGTATTTCTAACTTCCATACTTTGAAATTGTGCCGCTAGTTTGCTAAAAATATGTAATTTATAAATATATGTTCAAACTAGCTTATATATATACTTTTTATAAGCAAGTTACCTGCAACTAAGTTTGAACTGTTTTATTATATTAGAAACTTTTTCAAATCGATGTATATCTCTATGATGTTGCCTTTGACAATAACTAATTACTAAAAATGTTGCCCTTTCAAATAAGAGTACTTCATCAGCATCAATAATATTTGTAAATTGTTTCAAACTCTGTTCAAGCTCTTTCACATTTGGAATCAACATATATACGATCGAAGACCATGCCCTAAACATAATAGCTTGCATGGAATTATAAAATAAAGATTGAAATCATTGTACAGTTACAAAGATATACCTATATAATGTTTCATCCCATATGCTAGTTCTAAAACAAGTACATTCGAGTGGCAAACTAAGTCTTTTCAGATCTTCTTCTCTTTCTCTAAATATCAAATCTCGCTGATCCTCTTGTACTAAATCCATCTTATGTACTAAACAGAATATCTTTGCTTCTGGACTATTTTGTAATATTGCTTCTAAGCAACTTTGATAATAATGCATGTCTTTATCTAATTCTCTGGATTCTACGTCGAAAACATAGATCAAAACCTCTACGTTCCTAAATATATTGTCACGTTGCGATGCAAAATAATTTTCCATGAATGCTTCTTGACCACCGCAATCCCAAAGATTTAACACCAAATTACCAAGGAATCGAACATGACTATGTTCTACATCAACTATTAAACATACCAGTAAATTAATAAATAATGCATAAGGTACAAATATTTGATAAAACTGGTATAAGCCAAGTATTACACACTTGTTGCTCCCAAACGACGTGTATCACGAGCAATATAATTGGCAAAAATTATGCTGCGCATACTAGTCTTTCCTGAACCGCTCTTACCCATCAACAGAACCTAAAAAATATAGAATATTCATTATATGTAAAACTTAGACACACGCGCGCGCACGCACGAGCATCTGTTAATAAACGGTACAAATTAATTTAAGCGGTTATGATTTTAGATAAGTACAAAATTTGAATACCTTCTTCTTCATCTTGAATTGATAATGTTATATCTAAGAATTAGTTAAAAATCGTATGCGACAGTTGATCAATTGTTGTGTCCTGCAACAAATTATTGAATAGTATGATACAGTTACACAGTTAAACAGTTTCCATTACACTTATGACAGGAGTACATTCCGAACATACGTCAAATACGTGGTCAGATGTTAAATTCATAGGTTATTTCACACTGTTCGATGAATCACATAGTACAACTCTATAACCTATAATAAACGCACACCAATTTTCTTGTCAGTTAACAAATGGCATTAAATATCATTTACAGATACTTCATAATATCAAAAACATGGGTTGTTCAGAATGAAAATAACGATCTCCTTAATAGTAAACAGTCTTATGTTATGAATTATAATAATTGTGATTACTCTCTACCTTCTTCCAATGTGATTAACTTTTAAGCTAAGTATGTAGCTAACTTCACACATGTTGTCATTATTCACGTATCATTGAAAGATAAGATAATTGAGCCAACTGTACTTAATAAAATGTATGACAAACAATGTATTTATTATTAATGCATATTAATACCTTTAATATTATCAAGTATTACTTAATATTTCTGTAATATTTCGCAAATTTAACCAATCTTTATCTTTTCTAAGTTTCTAAATTATTTTGATGTTACGTGTATATATATACACACACGCGCGCGCGCGCGCACATACACACGCGCGCACACACGCACAAATAAATAAATTCTAAATTTTTAAGCTTTTAGACTATGCAGCACTGGAAAGCACTTATATCGGATAGAAATGTAATTAATCTAACATTATACACTTCTGAAACTATTATTTTCTTTAATATAATTGCGGTAAAAAATCATTTATAAAAGAATTGATATCATTTTACTTATATTAATATACATTATAAATACAACTTAATCATGCGGAAGGCTTATAACCATACTAAATGATGATTCTATGCATAAATACAGAATGATAATTCTTATAAATATGAATATGTCAAACGATAAAAATCTGTAAGATTAAAATGTCATAGTATTATGTATTCAAAGTATCAAGAATAACAGAGAAAATAATAAAAAGTACTTTTAAGAGAATTTTGATTTTCAAACAAGCATTTTATATTACAAAACAAAACTTACATATAAATTTACATATGATAGAACAATGTTCTTACAAATGTTTTGGAATGTAAAACATGTAAGAACTTCCTCAAATATGTCATACAATGATTTTTTATATATTTGTTCCTTCTTTTCTTAAGTTACAAAAATATATTACATAGACAGGTATAATATAATCAAAGGATTCATTTCTGGACACACGTTAACAAACTATCTGTAATGGATAACGATAAATATTTATATTTACCAAAAAAAGAAAAAAAATCAGTTAATTTTATTATGGACTTAGAAATATACAAGTTATTAAGATGCAATTTCATACATATTAATAATGCTTATGATATCTGAACATTATATTCTTTATATAGTCTTTGTTATGCATATAATTATAAATAGTCCTGTATATATATATGTATTTATTATTGTTATTATTATTATACTCCATGTCTTAAGAATTTAAGTTCATATTTTTTAAATTATTATTTACTTTATTTATAGTATATAGTTAACCCCCATATATGCTTCTTCCAGATAAGTAAGATACTCATTTGTCAGAAATATAAACCGAGATAATACATTTTTAACAAGCACACTTTTTAGTGACAAATATTTTGAAGAGATTTAAACATGTAATTATGATACATAAATTATAAAAATATATATTACATCTATTTTCGAAAGGTAAAGATTGAATAGTTTCGAATACGAATATAAATTTAATTTATAGAAGCATATTTAATTCATTATGTACAAACTCTAGTATAAATAAAAATAAAAATATGAATAGGTACCTACACGAAAATAGCAAATATGCAGTTTTATAATTACTAAACTATGATTTATACACATACGAAATCTTAAGATATTTCAGCACACTCTCTTTGAATATACAAATTTCCAATTTATCTTTAAAAAGTATATAATAATCCACTGAAAGCTTTCATTTTAACGAGTAAAACCATATTGAAGTTTACAACAATATGTATTTGTTTCCATGTTGGCTAACCTGTAATTGATTCACTTACAGTCTTACCACCGTTCCAACCTATATTGTTCTAAATTTCTTTTTAAATCATATACATATACATATATACATACATATATACATATATATATATATATACACAGGCACCCGCGCGCACGCATATATACATATATGTACATATACGGACTTACTCGTGTTAACCGACAATAGGTTGCGGGTGAAAGTAAGTATATGCGTGTACATACTAAGTACTAATGATCAAACCTTGTAAGTGTATGAACAGAGGAATACATGGTGAAAAGGAGAGAGAAAGAAGCAAATGAAAAAGTGGAAAAGAGGGAAAGAAAGGGAAAGGAAAGGAAAGGAGGGAGGTACAGAAAGAGAGGGAGTGAACGGTGTTCCAGTAGTAGAGGCGCTGTACAGTGGTAGAGGACTGTGGCAGCGGTGGTGATTCAGACTTCTTATCAACCTTGAAAAAAGTGTGGAGAAGAACAGGAAGAGATTCGTCGTCATTGGGCGTCGATTATACGTACGAAATGAGATACCATTGATAAGACTCAGAGCGCCGCGTGGTTCCGCCTCCGCCGTGCCCAAACACGGCACATCACGGACGTGTGGATAAAGCGGCGCCATATATACACGATATACAATCGTATTTTTTCTTTCGCGAGTGCGAGACGACAGAAAAAGGGAGGAGTGAAAACACTCTGAGAACGAAAGAGCAATCGCGACACTAAAGAACATCCCAGACACGGAGAACGGTGGAAAGTGAGAACAAGAGAAGGAGGGAGGGAGAGAGAGAGAGAGAGAGAGACAGAGGAAGAGGGAGGGCGAGAGGGAGAGAGAACTAGAGATCCGTGGATGCGGCGCGGTGTCTGCTCCCGTGCGTGCGTGAATCACGCTTTGGAGGTGCCTGTCTATCCCTCGTCTTCGAGCACACCCTATACTCACGACATTGACCCGTTCGAAGACGCCGCTATTCTTCAAAATCGAACACCTTTCACAAGTACCCGAAACTGTCACTCACGAGGAGAGGCATTTTTCTTTCGTTTTGTCTCCTGTTCTTTACCGGTCACCAAGCCTATATCCATATCTGTGATATAGAGCCGGTAATTTCAAACATCATTTCGATAACGTCTGCTAAATTCAAGAAAGCAAATTCTTTTATCTATAACGAAAGTGAATGGATCTTCAAGTCTCATGTTTTCAACAAACAACTTGGTGTTTTTGTCAACATAAAGAATTCTCTGTATACTGTGATTCAAACCTTTAGTCTTTTAGGATTTATATAACGTAAGAACGACTAGGATCTCTGAGGCAGGGGCTAATAGTATTAAACAAATCTTTGAACAAAATTATAGAAACGCAGCAACGTAAGGTAGATTGGCAACAAAGGGACAAAAGTAGAAACAACATGTCAGATGAAGAAGACAAACCCCCTGCACCTCCTGTACGACTTACATCAAATAGGTAACTATATATTCTATGCTATATTATTATGTTGTTATAATTTACTAGTACCGAAAAATTTCTCAATGAAAGAATATATCATTTAATATTAGATATTTTAATATATATTCAGTAACAGATATGTCTAATGTTTCATTCTCTAGTTCTATACATTTCTATGTAATATAATAGATGTAATATCAGAACACTGTTCTGTAACACTAAAAGCTGATAAGTTTGTTACACATTACATTTTTATTATTTTCTTTACAATAAGTAAATGTCTACATCTTCCAAAAATAGGATAACAGACACTAATCTAGTGGTTGCTAAAAATAAAATCCTACAGTTCAGACACGATGACATTCTGATGTGGGAGACCATCCTTTTAAGTCTTTATATGCAGTCTTACTAACAAACGTGTATATATATATATATATATATATATATATATATATACATATATATATATATATATATATATATATATATATATATATATATATATATATATATATATATATATATATATATATATATATATATATATATATATATATATATATATATATATATATATATATATATATATATATATATATATATATATATATATATATATATATATATATATATATATATATATATATATATATATATATATATATATATATATATATATATATATATATATATATATATATATATATATATATATATATATATATATATATATATATATATATATATATATATATATATATATATATATATATATATATATATATATATATATATATATATATATATATATATATATATATATATATATATATATATATATATATATATA